TTTTTCTGTTTTCTCTGTTTTTCTTTTCTTTATTTTTTTTTGGGGGGGGTAGTTATTGTAAATGGGATTACTTTCTTGATTTCTTTTTCATCTATTTCATAATTGGCATATAGAAATGCTATTGACTTCTGTGTATTGATTTTGTATCCTGCCACTATACTCAATTCATTTATTAATCCTAGTAATTTTTTGGTGAAGCTTTTAGGGTTTTCTATGTACATGAACATGTCATCAGCAAGTAGGGATAGTTTGTCTTCTTCCTTTCTGGTTTGGATGCCCTTTATTGCTTTCTCTTGCCTTTTCTGGTGCTGGCTAGAACTTCTAGTACTACGTTGAGTAAGAGTAGAGAAAGTGGGCATCCTTGTATTGGTCTATGATCTTAGAAGAAAAACCTTAAATTTCTGTCAGTTCAGTATGATATTAGCTATGGGTTTGTTGTACATGGCCTTTATTTTGTTGAGGTACATTCCTTTTACACCTAATTTGTTGAATGTTTTCATGAAGGGGTGCTCATTTTATCAAATGCTTTTTCTGCATTTATTGAAATGACCATATATTTTTCTTCATTCTGTTTATGTGATGTGTCATATTTATTGCTTTGTGTATGTCAAACCATTCTTGCATCCCTAGGATGAATTCCACTTGATCATGGTGAATGATCTTTTCAATATACTGTTGGATTCTGTTTCCTACTATTTTATTAAGGATCTTTGCATCTGTGCTCATTAGGGATACTGGTCTGTAGTTTTCTTTTTTTGTTGTATCTTTTTCCAGTTTTGGTGTGAGGTTAATGTTGGCCTCAGAGAACGGGTTTGGAAATATTTCCTCCTCTTCAACTTTCTGGAAGAGTTTGAGAAGAATTGGTATTATTTCTTTAAATGCTTGGCAAAATATGGCAGCAATACCATCTTGTCCTGGGGTTTTCTTTGTTGGAGGACTTTCTGTTACTGCTTCAATCTCATTACTTATTATTGGTCTGTTTAGATTTTGTAATTCCTCATGATTAAACCTTGGTAAATTGTATGTGCCCAGGAGTTTATCCATTTCTTCCAGGTTTTCCAGTTTGTTCTCACATGGTTGTTCATAGTAGTCTCTTATGATCCTTTGTATTTCTGTAGTATCAGTTGTAATGTTTCCATTTTCATTTCTAATTTTATTTATTTGGGTCTTCTCTCTTTTTTTCTTTGTTAGTCTAGCTAAAGGTTTACCAATTTTGTTTATCTTCTCAAAGAAAACAAATTATTTGTTTCATTGATCTTTTGGATTGTTTTAAATCTTTAATTCATTTATTCCTGCTCTGATCTTTGTTATTTCTCTCCTTCTACTGATTTGGGGTTTAGTTTGTTCTTGTTTCTCTAGTTCCTTAAGGTGTAACGTTAGGTTGTTTATTTGAAGTCTTTATTCTTGTTTGATGTAGACATTTATTGATGTAAACTTTCATCTTAGGCCTGCTTTTGCTGTATACAATAGGTTCTATTATGTTGCGTTTTCATTTTCATTTATCTCCAGGAATTTTTTAATTTCCTTTTTGAGTTCTTCTTTGACCCTTTCATTGTTTAGTAGCATGTTGCTTAATTTCTAGTTATGTGTACAGTTTCTAGTATCCCTTTTGTTGTTGATTTCTAGTTTTATCCCATTGTGGTAGGACAAGGTAGTTGGTATGATTTCAGTTATTTTAAATTTACTGAGACTTGTTTTGTGACTTAACATACGGCCTATTTTAGAGAATGTTCTATATGCTGCTGAAAAGAATGTATATTCTGCTGCTATTGGATGAAATGTTCTATATAAGTCCATTAGGTCCAATCAAACTAGAGTAGAGATTCTGATGCTTCCAGTTTAATTTTCTGTTTCAATGATCTGTCCTTTGCTGAAAGGGTGTGTTAAAGTCCCCAACTATTGTGTTGGAGTCTATTTCTCCCATCAGGTCTAATAGTAATTGCTTTATATAACTGGGTGCTCCAGAATTGGGTGCATATATATCTAGAATTGTTACTTTCTCTCATTGAATTGATCCTTTTATCATTATATAATGACCTTCCTTATCTTTTTTTTTACTTTTCTTGGATTGAAGTCTATTTTATCTGATGTAAGTATAGTTACTTCTGTTATTAGTTGTTTCCATTTGCATGAAATATCTTTTCCATCCCTTCACTTTCAGTCAATGTGTGTCTTTACAGGTGAAGTGAGTTTCTTGTAGGCAGCATATTGTTGGCTCTTGTTTTACAGTCCATTGAGTGACTCTGTGTCTTTTAATTGGGTCATTTAATTTGTTTACATTTAGAGTTATTATTGATACATAGAGACTTGTTACTGCCATTTTGCTACATTTTTTTCTGATTGTCTTGTAGATCCTTTTTTCCTTTTTTTCCACTCTTACTATCTTCCTTTGTCATTGAGTAATCTTATTTAGCAGTATATTTTGATTTCTTGCTATTTATTTTTAGTAAGCCTTTTATAAGTTTTTGTGTTATGGTTACCATCAAGCTTACAAAAAACATGTTATAGTTATAACAGATTATGTTAGACATCTGGTCAAGATGGAGGAATAGACAGTCCCCAGTGTCACTCTCTTCCACAAACCAACAAATTTGCAACTATAAAAAAGCAACGACAACCAAGCTGAGGCCGCTAGAGCTCAGGGGAAGAGGAGAGAAACCTACAGAGTGCATGAAGGTGGGAGAAGCCACAATGAGAGAGAGAAAAAAACACTCCAAATGGTTGATTAATAAATTGAAAATATTAAATTTCACTAAAAAGTAAGACCTCATCCACAATTTATAAACAATTCGTTCCTTAAATCTTTTTAGCTGTATTATAAAATGTATTTGGTTTTTAAGTACTTTAAATGTCTGACTTGCAAAACTTTTCTATGGCTGTCCAGTAATTCTAAATTTTTGTCTCAAATATAATGAATTTCAAATTCTCTTGAACATTCAACTACTGTTTATAAACTTGAGGTTTCCCATACTTACCAACTTAAAATCACACAACTAAAAATTCATTTTAAATTTCACTTTTTCAGTAACAAGGCTGATCTTTCTGGATTATCTAACATGCCCAATTCTCATAAATATTATGAACACTTTAAATAACTGGCACAAATTGTACAATTTAGTAGAAAATAAATAATATCATGGGTCTTGATATACCTGATCATTGTTGTACTGAATTTTAAACATTCCCATCTTATACTGGGTTTCCTAGAAGCGAGCTTGAGTTGGAGATTCTTGTGCAAGTGATTTAGTGTCTCTCCAGAGATACCTGTGAGAAATGGAAGATGCAGGACACAGTAGGAGGAGGAGATGAGCAAAGATGTGGCTTCAGCTGAAATCTAGCCTCAGCCAGATCCTATGGGATATGCTAGAGCTGCATTGTCCAACCTGGTAACCACTAGCCACATGTGGCTCTTGAGCACTTGAAGTGTGGCTAGTCAAATTGAGATGTTCTATAGGTATAAAATGTACATGGAAAATCAAAATCCTGAATGAACATAACAATGCCAAATAGCTCATTAATAATTTTTTGCAAATGTTACATGTTGCAATGATAACATCTTGGATATACTGGGTTAAATAAAATTTATTATTATGACATATTTCTCCTGTTTGTTTTTATGTAATCACTAGAAATATTAAAATTAAATATGTGGCTCACATCGTATTTCTTTTGAACAGCACTGTTAGAGTAGGAATAATACAAAATAGTACAAAATGTTCCCAACTAGAGGCATTACGGTTTGGCTTTTATACCTTATATCAGTCAATAAATGGCTGTGGGCTGCCTCTGAGGGAAGGATGCAAACTTCCAGACATCTCCATGTAAAGTAGCTTCCCCCTCCCCATTCATCCATCCAAGGACCAAGGGCAATTCTTAGGAGATGCATTCAGCTGTGTGAAGTATTAGTAGCCATTACTCACAGAAGCCGATGGAAGGAAGCATCTGCCAGTTGAGGGGATCTAGGCTCTCAATCAGTGACTCTTACACTTTCCTATGTCATAAGTCATTTACCCACCAGGATCCCAGTCACTATATCAGGGATTGAAGCCACTAGGTGGAAGATCTCAGACTGTGATGTAGTCACTTACACTTCCAAGATTCAAAACCAGGACATGTGACCTGAGCACTTCATGCTTCTCAGAAGAAACCACCAAATCACATATGCACAGGCTGTAACATATTCATACAATGAATTGCTATAGCAACAGGGTACCATAATACCTCACATATCAACTGAAATTGATTTTATATATACATTTCCTGATTCCTTCTCCAATCAGATTTTGGGTTGACAGAATTCTTTGCTTCTGCATGGCTTACAAATAATTTTCTTCACTACTTGAATGGATTCAATCTTTTTACTGCCTGATTGGACTCTAAATTGATTTCCTATGGTTGTTTTATTCATATCCCATATGATCCTGCATTCCATTCCTACTTTTCTTACTTATAATGACTCTGTGGTCATTTTAATATAGGAGATTAGCCGAGGTGAGATGTTTTTCTCACTGCACGGTGCATTGTGTCAGAGAAATATGAGTGCTTTTTTAGGCCTCATATTGATATAAGCCTGCAGAAATCCTTTCAAAGTGACAAAGGAAGAGTTCATTTCTGCGAAGAAAGATGAGAAAGGAATTTCCTCAGAGCTGAGTTTGCTTGGGAGAAAGAGAAGATGATGACAAACCACTGCTTAGTCAGACAAAAGGGTGAAATTACATATCTAGGTGGTCTGAAAAGGCATGCTGTTTACCAAATAATCTTTTCCATCACTATAAACCTAGAATCATGAAATCATTGGAATAATTTGACTTTTAGCACTTTGGTAAAAAATGCAAGCTTTCAGGAAAAAATTTATATAGGAACAAAACAGAATCAGCCCAAACAGATGAGGGAGCAACAGAGACCTGAATAATACTTTCTCCTTCTTTTTATTACAAAGAACTCGTCAATAATTCTACAATTTTGTGTCCTTTTTCTGATGAGTTTATTTGCATTTTATAGGAGAGATAAAAACCCTGCTAAAAATATTCCCAAATCTCTGATTACTACCATTTCTGGGGTGACTGTGATTTACTTATTGGTGAATATATCCTACCTGGCAGTTTTGACCCCCAAGGAAATCATCTCTTCAGGTATGAATGTGTATAAACAAGGAGGAAACAGTCACTTCTACCTACCCTGAATAAACAGGGACTGTTGTATACCGTATATTTGTTTGATACACTCATAGTAATATAAACATAATGTGTTTATGCTCTGATCTTTACAAAGAACCCAAGGAGAAACATGAGCAAGCANCTGGACCCTCATTTTTCTTACCTGGTTTACTACAACAACCTCCTAATTTATACACTCACCTTTAAACTCCTCCCTCCAATGCAGCCTCCACTCAGTTTCTAGAGATAACTTTATAAAACACAAACCCTGCTTAATTACTGTCTTGTTTTCTTGCATCTCCTCCCAATGCCTCACACACCTGCTGCAACCACTATACCATCACCCATCACCTTCCTTCAGACCAAATATCAGCTTCTCAGCTGGCCACAGCAGGTTCTCCAAGATCTAATACAAGCCCAACTTTCTATCTTCATTTTTTGCATTCTTCTTTTTTGCACACACACACTTACTACAAATCAGCCTTTGTAAACAACTTACCATTTCCAAAATAGATATTATCCTCTCTGCCTACCCCACAATGCCAACTGTCTGCCCTCTGCCTGACTTAGATGCCT